GTGTGTGTAGTAAAGCTAATCTGCCATTTCCTCTTTATCTCCATTTATAGTTAAGCCCTGACTTATATCATCGGTTTTGTTATGTATCATGGTGTATTGGGCTTGTATTAGGGACTGCTATAGTGGTGATCTGTCTTCATAACACACTCTGGGCTGTATTTCTCAATCCATTTCTCCTTTTCCCTTCTATTCTCTCCCTCCCTCCCTCTCTCTCTCTATTTCAGATGAACAATATGGCCAATACTGCTACCCTAGGAAACGTATGGCCACCGAACGGAGCCTCAGCGAGAGACCCATCACAGGCCAATATGATAAACTCACCTGCCCCTCCCTCCCAGAACGAGATACAATATGCTGATGCACTTATGACAGAAATCACTGTTTAACAAAATAAAATGACATCTTTTTTTTTAACAGATAAATGTCCTTTTTCGATCTTCCAATAATACCCCTTTCTCTTCCTCTCTCTCTCTCTCTTTTTTCTTTCAGTCAAAATCTCTTTAATTAGCATAAATACCAGTTGACTATGTGTGCTATGTGTACATGAAATTATTATTAATTTATTATTATTATTATTATTATTATTATTATTATTATTATTTTTGCAAATAAAATTTTACTGACCAGACTCAAATCAAGTTAACTAAAATTGTGCCGTAGGGAACTCTACAGTCAAAAATTTTTAATAGCAGCTACATTGTAGATACCATAAATCTTCTAAATATTCAACACTCTAACTTCGTCAAATTAAAGGTGAATTTAATTTGCCAAATTTTTAAAAGATTTACAGTACTTAATCCTTTTTGATAGGCAACTCACTAAATTTGCACGCTCAGAAATACATGTACACATATACAATATTAGTATGCAGCTGCTGGGAGATGGATTCAAAAGTAATTTTAATGAATGAAAAAGTAATTATTATTATGATAATACAATAGAATTCACATATTAAGGTATTAAACAAGTATTATTATACATTATTTTTATTATATATTGTTATCAAATACATTATCAGTCATAATTATTTTTATATATAATAATTATTATCTTTGTTGCTGCTGCATTTGTTTCATCATCTGTTCGTCTTGCATGTACATCGAAGTTAGTTTCTTTCCTATTCTGTCGTGGACCTCTAGAAACTTTGCTACACAGCGGTCAAGACATATCGCCTCTCCTTTATTTAGATCCCCTTCGTGATACTTTGGAGGTATACACTTCTTATGACAGGCGGTTGAGAGCCTAAAAATAATAATCAGGACAGAAACACAGAAATAATTTAGAAATTCATTAAAAAATATAAATGGTTAATAATATTAACTACATTTACTTAAAATTAGAATAATTATACTCTCTCTCTCCTTTATACCTGTTATATAAATCAGTCATCATGTCTACTTCAAGATCTGAAAGCATTTGCTGTTGAGCCTGTGGTTGATTCATCTTGATTTCTTGATGTTCTAATTAATGCGCACTCCTCCTTACACGTGTTCAACATGGCGTCCAAGGCAGAGGAAGAAGAACCAGAGAGTGTGGGAGACAACGGCGGAGAGGAGACTCGTATCAGTGTCTATAGTAAAGAAGAAAGAAGGATAGAAGAAGAAGGGGCACTGCTCGTTCAGAAAGCTTTAAACGAAGCCATCATCGCCTCAGGAATGGGTGACTTAGCTTTGGGTGATGAAACAGAGAGTGAAGTAAGAAATATGATATTTGTGTACCTTATCTTGTATTTTTATTTATCTCTTTTAGAACTCTCTCGAGTCAAGGCGTAAGAAAGAGGAGGAGAGAAAACCAACAAAATGGCTGACCATCACGGAAATCTTTCAAAACTCTGCCTCAGTTCTCTCACCAGGCGAACTAATCCACGAACCTTCCTTTAGTCTCTACGACGCAATGTCAGCCATAGAACTCACCGATCCGAAAATGGATGCCATCGTCCAGTGGGATTCGTTTCCTGGCTACCCCCGTTCTTTCCAAGAAGCTTTCGCGAAAGGTCGTGTGAAGGTGAAAGGTCATTCGCCGAGGGAATTGATTGGGATTTTCGACGAAATGCTTGCATGTTATGCCACCTGGTTGAAGGGACACACTCTGGCTCAAACCGTATTCACGTGTCTTTATCTACTGGACACTGATCAGGTGGATAATCTGTTTCTAAGAGCATTCTCGGTTGCCATGGTGAGGATGGTGGAGTATACAAGAGAACTGCTAGCAAAAGGAGGAGTTTATGCTGAAGAGGATCAACAAGTAATGGATACTTAAAAGTATTGAGTTGAAAAATACTGTATAGCGGGAAATTTTGGAGGGGATTAAATTTGGCGAATTTGGCGTTTTGATAGCCATTCAACATAAGTAGTACATTTAAGTACATACATGTACATGTGTAAAAGTTATAAAATGCATAATGGTTTAAAATGGTGGGTTTTATATTTATTTGCAAAGAGCCATCAAAATGCCAAATTTGCTGAAATTGACCCACACCAAATCCCAAAGTTAGATGTATCACCTATAAAGTACAATTGATAAAATGCTCTAATGTACATGTATGTACTACTTTTTTACAATAGGTTATATGCATTGGGCTGAACATGCTAAATAAAGTGAGTGACGAAACAGTACTATCAACCCTCAAGGCTTCAAGGGAGAGACTCGTGAGTATCTCAAAGAACTCGATAACATCAACAGCTATTAAAGACAGAGAGAATTCTCCAGCACTTATCGAGGGTCCTCCATCAATTAACTCTAAGCTTAATAAAGACTGGGACAAGCCATACGTAGAGGCTCTTCTCCAACGAGTTAAATTTACTCGCTCTCTTTTTCTCATCGTGTCCTCTTTAAAAAGACGCACTAGAGAAGGTATTAATTCCAGTGAGGGAGAGTTGGGGCATTGTCGAAGTTTTTTAAATGCTATTTCCTCGACGCTTGATTTAGGAGAAACCTTAGACCCAAGGGACCCGCTACAGCTTGGGTTTCATCCACTCATCAACCAGCACCTACTACCTCCTAGTTACAGGGAGTATGGGATAATGACACGTGTGGAATCTATCACAATGATATCTCAGATTTTATCAGATTTTTCGAGTCTTTATAAAATAGGTCGTCAGAGTAGCTTGATCGATTTATTTTCTTCCCTCATTTCCCTCTCTACTGCTAGCTCCAGCCCAAACGTCCTGGTTAGATCAGCAGTGGCGAGCTTGTGTTTAGGCAATGATCGAACGAGTCTTTTTGGATCAAAGTCACTCCAGTCGATGGTCAAAGACGAGGTGAAAGTCTTGTTCAACCCACCCTCCCTCAACCCTCGCTCCCCTCTCTCGACCACGCCCCTAGTTAACGACCTCGTTGAACGTTTCCTTGGCAACCTATACATTCCATATTCCGAACTCCTTCGTATCTATTGCTCCCACAGAGCCTGCCAGAGATCAATGATATCGAAATATTTGGGCGGAGTCTGCGAGATACAGCACGAGTCTGAGAGTGTTGATCAGCAGCTTCATTCCCTTACTCAGCAGCTGGACCCACAGAGACAGCATCTCTCCTGCTACTGTACTTGGCTGGTCTACTACGTTGCACATCTTTTTGTCGACTATGTCATTCTCGGCTTCGAGTATAACTTGTATAATGTTTACGAGTATCATTACGTGTTCTGGTATCTCGAATATTCTTACGGTTGGAAGCAAATGACTCTTAAAACGGGAGCTAAACTTCTTTCCCAAGAGCCTCAGGCTTCATCGAAAAACAAGAAGAAAGTGAAGGGGAAGAAAAAAGAGATACCGAGAGAGAGAGAAGTTGAAGTCAATTTCCTCCAGGTTAAGAGACTCCTTTGCATTGGGATCATGAGAGGATATGAGGCTCTTGTTCTCGATGGCAAGATCAAGCGCCCGGACTTTGAATTCGGGAGCGAAGAGCTGATATTTACAAATCGTTTTCTCCCATTCACCAACGTCCTTACCCCACAGCCACTGACATACACCAATTACTGTGATCTTGTTGGAATCGATCAACACAAAGGGACGAAACTGAATCTGTACGAAGTCGCTGCCCGCCAGTTCACTACTGCTAAAGTAGCACTGGAGTCTTTAAATCTCGGAGCAGACGAAGAGGCTGTGAGTCTTCTAAAGGTTATTAAAACTAATTTGGTGGTTATGAATTTGGCAGCGACAGGACATAAGAGGGATTCTAAGGCTCCACCTTCTTGGGATTTCTCAATTCATAGAGTGTTTCCTATAATTAGAATAAATTGATTATTATTATTATTATTAGTATTATTTTTAACAATAATAATAACTAATGAAAGATCAATTATTATTATTATTATTATTATTGAATCACCCCTCTTTCTCTATTTGTAAAAAAATTATAATGTTCTATTTAATATTTTTAAGAGTTGTGGTGTCAGAATAGCATGAATGGACATACAATCCATTTATGGTAAAGTCAGAAAAATAGTTGTGACATGTCTTTCATACAAAAAGTAGTAGTTCATACATACAAGGTGAAATCTTTGCAATTTTTAAATAATTTAAATTCCATGGGAAATGGTCCTACAATTGAATAACAAAAAATACGTAATTATTGTTTAAACAATTCAGCTTGATTGTTGATATAGGCTGTCATAACTGTTGTCTCTGTATTTTATGGGGAACAGTTCTCTTAACTGGAATAAATTCAACAGTTGATGCGTCAGTTAGTGCTGTTAATGAGTTTAAGCTCATCTCTCTGAGTATTGATCCTGTCTTTGTCTCTTCACAACTTTTCTCTTCTTCTCCTGATTTTTCTTCCCCTCCAACCTCTCCCTTGTTCCCTCTCCCTTCCTCTGTCTCTCTCTCAAACTCCCCCTTCTCTTTTCTCTTCTCCTGTTCAATCTCTCTTCTCTCCATCACTCCAGCACCTAATGTTACATAGCACAATATGACTTCCTTTCCAGCACTCTCATTCACTCTAACAACAGACATCACCTCCTGCCACGACAATCCATCTTTACCGCCTTTACCACATTTTGGTACTTCCATGACAAGAACAGCATAAGTAGAATGCGAATGGGCTGGACTTTTTTTGTAAAGCAAAAAATGGGCGCCAAATTTGAGCCCACATCTTGGTACCCACCCACTTTTCCTTAAATGGTAATAAGCTATGTAACGTGCAAGAAACCCAGTGTTATGAGTAGCCTCGGAGTTCTTCCAGAGTTCTTCAAATGATACCTTTTCACACTCTAATGATGTGACTTCAATCAGGAAGGTGTGCATTAAATAGAGTACCTCCACCAGTGATAATTTGAGCGACGGTGTTTTTTGTGTATCATCAAAACGAGCACTATCGTGTGTATGGCTCATATCATCTTGCTCTGAGCAGATTCTTTTTGGAGCAGAGAATGTCACAACAGAAGGATCCACTCCAATATCAAGATAAGTATTGTTCCCAAAGCAACCATTGCTGCTAAGATATTCGATTGAAACTGGATCTGTGATGTGAATCTCGTTGTCAATCAATGTTCCTGAGAGTTTTTGAGAAGGTGGAGTCGTTCCTCTCACAGAAACTGATCTCTTCTTATGCCTAGTTAGTGGAGGAATGTAGGACATTGCGTTGGGGTGTGGCTATAGATACCCACGTGGTAGCACGTGGGCCAGTATCCAAGTCAAGTTACTTCTCGAGCAATGTTGTCAAAATTCTGTGCCATACGATCGGTGCCATAGGCATCATGAAGTAAGAAGTCTAGACACGTAGATTGGTGCGGGGATGTATTGGCCACTGATCTATTACATGGTGTACTGTATTACATGTTTCTTATTAAATGCTTCATCTATCTACATCGCTCATATTCATACAGTGAAATCATCATAGTTTATATTGTTTATAGTGGCAGCATGCATCATAATGTATGCATGGCTTGATGAAGAATAACCAGGTATTGTATTTCTTTTCACATATCAGGTTGATGTCATATAACGTTACGCCAGACTTACAGACTTTTGTTCGTCATCATTCTCAGAAGATTAAATTATGATTGTGCATGTGTCAAAATATTTGGAACTGGGAGAAGTGTGAGGAAGCAACAATGCAATTATGTCATTGTGTAAATTATGCAAATTATTGAAAATATGAGAAGAGTAGGGGTCAAGATTGCAACCTCTGCACTTTCAGAGACACTGGCTATAAAAGACACTAAACTTTAATCCAGTGTAGACAAAATAAAACTTCTTAGTTCAGTGAAGCAAAGTTACAGTACCACAAAGGTATACAATAGCTTTATAATATCATATGTGCAAACTTTGAATAAATATCCTTTCCTTTTAGATGCAGAAATTTGTCCTCCTTCTTCTAACAGCAGTTACTATAGGCTGCTATGCAGAGATTGATACAAGCCAATGCTACAATGCCCCAAAGGGGACCCTGTACTATCTCTACAAAAACTGTCGCAAGGCTTCTGACAGTCGTCAGACCAGGTGCATGAATGTTGTTGATCGGTACTGCTCTGATGTAGAGTTTGCTTTTGTTGGTAAAATGCGTCACACTACAGGAGGAGTAATGAGGGCCGTGAACACCACTACAAATGAAATCTTTCTCTCATGTTTCAAGACAGCATACAAAGGTCAAGTCGAAATAAGCTCTCTTCTGAATCACGTCCCTACGTGCAATCATCTTTCTAAAATTCAATCAGGGGATTGCTTGCTGGCAATCAGCAGATACTGTCAACTAGTAAAAGGTCGTTCCTCTTCTGGTTTTGCATATAGCACTTCAGTCAGTCATGCTAATATTGCTTGTTATGATTCAGCAAATCAGAGTCAAATTTCAACAAATATTTTGGCTTCGTATAATTCTAATTGTGATAATTCAAACAAGAGTGCAAGCTCTGATTGCTTCAATGCTGCTTGCCTTTGGTGCGAGGATGAAGGATATGATGGTGGCATTACACAGGGCAGTAATGACACTGATATCATTGTTTCGTGTTACAATGACTATTTTCGCAAACATGTCAAGGTCCGAAACATTAAGACACAAGGATGAGCAAAGCACGAGTGGGATAAAATCCCATTATTGAACAACTATATACTGTCCATTTATTCTTGTTTTGTTCTGTTCTGTTACTTGTAACTAATTAGTTTTATTAATAATTCAGTATAAAAATGTACATTGTCTTACTTGCATGGATTAAAGCACAGACATGACTAAAGCTAGGTTTACACTCGACACAAAACGCAATGCAAATGAACGCAAAATTGAAATTTGACCAATTTTGCGTCAACTTCAAAGCGTTTTTGCGTCAAAAGGTCAAATCGCCCACGCACTTTTCACCGTTTCGTCGAATGTAAACCTAGCTTAATATCCCATCCTTCATTCATAATGACAATAATGTGTTAATGCAAGTCTGGACTCAACCTATAGCTGGTAACTCTTGCTGGTAATGTGCTAAAGTAGATTAGACAGACATGACTAGTAGAGTATTGCTTGCATCAATGTTTAATGTTCATTCTGATACTAAGAATGTATTCCCAAGAGTAACAACAAACACTTTCTTAGAGCCATAAATATCTACCCAATGTGGATTATATCAGTACTTAAGGCATTCATTCATACACAGCACACGTGACAGCACGTGGCCCTCTACGCCCACTTGCAATTAATTTGTTGCTTGAGCCACGCCCTTTTGTTAAGAGGAAAGAAAAGAATGAGCTCAAAGTAAATTTAAAATAAAACAATTCATTATTGATATTGTTGCTATTGTAGGGAGGATTTAATGAGAGAAGTAGAGGAGCTGGAGAGGTAGGGAGGCGAGTTCTACTCGTCAGAATCACATACCAACACACTAATTTGAAATTTAAACACTTCACCTTTTATTAACTCTACTTTTTTCAGGGAGGTCTCCTCTCTACAGCAGAAGATTTTAACAGAGGGAATGTGAGTTTGTGCATAATGCAGTACTATTGATGTGATGACGTGTCGTAACTTTCTTGACCTAATTCTTAAATCATCTCTTTTTGCTCCTCCCCTTGGCCTCCTCCCCCTTTCTCTCTCTCTCTCTCTCTCTCTCTCTCTTTCTCTCTCTCTCTCTCTCCATTTTTAGTGAGACAAGTACTTCTAAAGATGCACGTAAGATGTATGGTGACACAACTCCTGGTGACATAACACATCAAGACGTCACTCTTGAATACTCAGGGTTCTTTAAGCATGCCTTCCGGAACTTACCCAAAGGACTAAAGGAAGACATGGAGAAATTTGAAATATGGGAGATGTGTGCAGAAATAATGAAGGTAGAGAGAAGGAGAGGGAGAGAGAGAGAGAGAGAGGGAAGTAGGGAGAAGGAGGGTGTGTTAAATAATAGTGGGTAATTTTGGAGAAATGAATCTATTGATTTGAGGTCCAACACCTGATACTCTGCTCAGTAGCAAATGCTAAACTAAGATTAGATTTAAAAGTTTTTTAAAAGATTTGACCAAAGATAAAAGCTTTTTTTTAATTTCTTATTCTAAGAAAAATTTTGATTTTTCAAAGTGTTTAAAATTCCTACAAAGACTCTAACAGTTCATAAAACAGTTCTAATCAATGTCATGGTAATAGTAATGTGCTAATACATGTACCGTATAGCTCCAAATTTTCGTCGGTCAAAATTTTCGTCAAATTCATCAGGTACTTGTGCTTGACGAAATTTTTAACCGACGAAATTTTTGTGCCACGTGGGTAGCATGCGGATTAATAACAAAAATGACGAAAATTTTTATTGACGAAAATTAATTTTAACAAGAAATTAAGATTTTGACGAAATTTTTGACTGACGAAAATTTGGAGCTATACGGTATCTTATAATAAATTAATAATGTAATTGAACTCATGTCTATAGGAATCATATGAAGCAAACAAAGAAGACATTGTTGATAGGATGATAAATAAGATGAAGGAGTCATTGCTTAATGCGAGTGGCTCAGGGAGTGAAGAAGATCGGATCGATGCTATTAGAGCCTTCACTTACCTCTTGCATCAAATACCAGTGGAGGAACTAAGAAAGGAAGTAATAATAATAATAATAATAATAATAATAATAATAATAATAATAATAATAATAATAATAATAATAATAATAATAATAATAATAATAATAATAATAATAATAATAATAATAATAATAATAATAATAATAATAATAATAATAATAATAATAATAATAATAATAGTATACTATGCATGTATCAGATAATAAAATTTGAAATGGCCATGACTTGAAAATTTATAGTTGGAATGAGCTCAAACTTTCTACATAGCATAAGGACATCAATATGTATTAGAAAATGTAATAAAAATGGGGGGTGATTTTGGAACCATTTTATCAAAAGAACCATGGGCTATAGCCTTGGGTAATTTTTAGATTTTTGGCGTTTTCTTAAAATGGCCGTAACTTGAAAATTTGAAGTCAGAATCAGCTCAAACTTTCTACATAGCATAAGAGCATCAATATGTATTGCAAAATGTAATAAAAGTTGGGGGTCATTTCAGAGCCATTTTTTAGAAAAAACCATGGACTATAGCCTTGGGTATTTTCAAAAATTTTGGCGTTTTCTTAAAATGGTTGTAACTTGAAAAATTGAAGTCAGAATCAGCTCAAACTTTTTACACAGCACAAGGACATCAATATGTATCAGAAAATGTAATAAAAATTTGGGGTAATTTTGGAGCCATTTTTTGGAAAAAAACATGGGCTATAGCCTTGGGTAATTTTTAGATTTTTGGCATTTTCTTAAAATGGTCGTAACTTGAAAAATTGAAGTCGGAATCAGCTCAAACTTTCTACACAGCATAAGGACATTGATATGTATCAGAAAATGTAATAAAAAGTTGGGGTTATTTCGGAGCCATTTTTTGGAAAAAATCATGGGCTATAGTACAGGGATTTTTTCAGAATTTTACCGTTTTTTAAAAATGGCTGTAACTTGAAAAATTATAGTCGGAATCACCTCAAACTTGCTACACAGCATAAGGACATCTATATGTATCAAAATTTAGGATAATTTCAAATGGAATCACTTGAAACTTTGTATATTGCATGATTTGATTTTACGCTATCATTTATACTTTCATAGCATAAGAAAATACTCATTTTATGTGGCACTTAATTTTTGTTGCATCCTGCAAACTTAAAGAAAGAAATCAATTGCTAATAATAGATTAATATTATTGTATTTATTCTCACATGTAGTGTGTTGATGGTAAAGAAGCAGCAGATGTGATAATGGATATATTGACACTGTTACCTGGTACTCAACATCAGAAGCTTATTCAGAGCAAACCTGACCATCCTCCACCCACTAGTGGACCAGCTGTAGCAAAACATGGCGAGAGTAAGGGACAAAAAAGTTTATTTAGTGTTTAATAAGAAAAGGAATTAAACAACTGGTAACTACCGTTACCTTTTTTCAAGGACTATAGATTTCGCTGATTTTTATTTTGCGAATTTAATTATTACAAATTTATGCCATCTGCCATCTTGTACCGTATTTATTTGATTTTTGTGGAAGTAATTTTTGCGAATCTTAAAAAAAATTACAAAATCTACGCAATTTACAGCCCTCAAAAAAAGCTGCGCTACAGTATATGAACCAATAGTGTATGGTTAGACTAGTGTACATTGCATGGTCATATTGTGTGGACTAGTACCTTTAATTTCAATTTTCAATGATATTGTGTTAGTAAACACTGTCTATACTCTAGAATTGTCCCAAAGCACAATGTATGATTTATTTAAACTGAGCAATGAAATTATACAATAATAATAATAATAATAATGATAATAATAATAATAATAATGATAGCAATAATAACATTATAACATGACATTCAGAGTACACATGATACACGTACATGTACATGTATAAGCACACGTCAGAAACAATGATAATAATAATAGTAATAATGATGATAATAAATAACAGTGTCCTATTTTCAAGCTTTACATAGTTGTATGTTGCCTCTTACTATTATATAGTGGAAGTTGAACTTGAAAGGTTCCTTATCCTACAGCAGTGGGCAGTAATATACCACACTGAAGCCTTGTTCTACTACGTTTCCTTATGATAATTACACAGTGGTTTGTAACTTTGGTTTGTACATGTTGCATCTACTATAACCCTCAGTTTTTCTTATTGCATTAATCTACAACTTTAGAGTAGTTTAACTAGTTTTACAACCTCATCCTAAGGTTAATGAATGCCTATCATAAATGAGCATGACTTGAAGGGCCTCTATTTGCATTTCTTAATGCACGAAGCCTAATTCTGACTCTAATCATCCTAACTCTAATTGTCCAGTGAATGCTCAGCACACTCCATTACAAAGCACTTGTATAGGATGCCATTGATTGTGGGTAATTGTGTATTTTAGTTGTTCATATGTACATGTATAACAATGCATGATTTGATTATAATGTCTAGTACTTTAAGGATATTCTGTATTTGATTATGAAAGTAACTTTCTTTTCTCTTTCTCTCCTTTTAACTCTCTCCTCTTGCTTTAAATCTCTCTCTCCCTCTCTCCCCCTTGCTCCTTTTCTCTTCCTTTTTTTCTCTCTAATACCATGCAGTTAGTAGAGTCCAAAGGTTTTGTTCAGCCTGTGATAAACCATTAACTGAGAGTCAGCTGTCTGATCCTCAACAGGTGTGTGTGTGTGCGTGTGTGTGCGTGTGTGAGTGTGTGTGAGTGTGTGTGTGTGTGTGCGTGTGTGTGTGTGCGTGTGTGAGTGTGTGTGTGTGTGTATGTGTGTGTGTGTGCGCACGTGTGTGTGTGTGTGTGCGTGCGTGTGTGTGTGAGTGTGTATCTGCAAATAGTGTAATATTATTATCCATTAAATGAAGCCCTGAAATATTTGTACCCATTCAAGTATTACGTGCATTTGTATGCGTATTCATTGCATATAATAGTGTATAGGTAATACTTCAGAATTTTGTCAGGAGCAAATTGATAGTGTGCTTCATGTACATGTACATGTATGTGCAGTATAGTCAAATTTACTATGTTGGGCCTGCATGCCATTAAGTTTTAATAAAAAGCATGGGCAATTTAACCTTTTGACGCATCCTTATGCTAGAGTTGAACAAATTCTACTCCAGTGTCAACACAATGACAGACCCAGTGTATTATTGTAACCTTTATGATCTCAAATTCACAGGCAATGGAATTAGTGCTTCTTACATTAATGTTTATGTATAGCTGCATTTTTCAGTGGTTTAGTGATATCACGCAAAGCTTGTCTAACTGGGTTTTATTTGAAATTTATTTATCATTTTTTCGTTTATTTGTAGGTTGTTGCAGCTAGTGAGACTGTTTTCTTCCATGCTAAGTGTATGAAATGTCATCACTGCAAGAGAAAGAATGATTTAAGTGTCTGTCAAGTTGGTGGAGTCAAAAACTTGAGATTAGTCTGCCAATCCTGCTTAAGGAGCCATGGTTATGATATTGTTTAGAGACAAGTTTCTTTCTTTAGCTTTCCTCCTCCTCTTTCTCTTCCTTTATTTTACTACAACTGTTAATGTACAACCACAGTTAGTTTTCATTATTGGAACAAGAAGATATAAATGTACTATAATTATTTTTAATGTGGCAGTATGCCATATTTACATTCACTGACATAGCCTCTAAAAACGCAGGTACATTGGCTAGCTATTTGCCCTGTAGTAAGTTTGTGTAGAGTAGTATACTACATTGGCAGTCAATGCATGTCCTGTAGTAGCAACATTACTACTGTAGTTGCTCTGCTTTGTATAGCAAACTAGTCATAAAGTATGATTTAATATGCATTTCTTAGAATTCTTGTTGCTTTAATTACACATGTAATCCGCACATCCTTAAATGTACTTGTAGCTGATGGAGTTATAGCCACACAAAGTTACAGAGGCAACTTTTACTAGTTTTTGTTCATTTTGTATATGATACCCTTTCTCCCTCTTTACCTATGACGTTGATTTCCGAGCAGGTAGTAATTAACTTATCATTGTTATTGTTATTATACTAATATTTCATTCCGTGGTACGACATATTTACTCACAATGCTCATATGAATGAGTATACTTCATTACATTGTATTAGTAGTGCCAGGAAGGTTCAATGACCTTTATAACAAAATTATGAAGACATATAATACCCTCCCACTATGTCTGGGGAAAAATAACAATAATTATGATATACATGTATGTGTATTTGATGCATATACTGCAGTATTGTTAGGGTATTTTGTAAGTGTATAATTACAATGTATGTGAGATCATAGATACAGTTTACTGTTGGTCAGTTTTGGTCTTAGTAGGAAGGACAGAGGAAAGAGGAAATCATGCTTTGTAATTGGGTAAACCTAGCCTTATGTCTTTGTTAGTATAAGTGATATCATTAGTACCACCTGCTTCTCTCTAAACTCATTATTCCTTTTACATGTACATGTACATGCCTCGCTGATTTTGTCATCACAATTAGCTACGTGTAATTGCAATGTAATTAATACAGCACACCCTCATTTATAATACATACATGTACATGTACATAGGCGTATATATATATATATGTGCATATTTATATTCAGTTTGTGTACCTTCAGACATTTATGGAATCTCAAAATTTAATTGACACTAATTTAAACTAATAATCTCAGACATTCCGACACCATTCCTTGCTGCCATAGCAGTCACGTATAAGTTATGCTGGCCTCAAGCAAAAAAGAACTTCGTTGAATCTCTAATACTTCTAATTTTATGTCTGTAATTACATGTACACCTACGCATTGAAACTCTAGTCCTTTGGCATTTCCTTTCTTAAATCATTACCCGTGAAATATGCACCATCAGGTTATTTATGTAAATTTTACTATTAAATATCTTAATTGGATTATGGCTACAATCCGTTTGTTGTTAGCGTAACATTTAACGAAAATTGCTTACACACGAAAAACTATGTCACTCACTTCCCACACTCATTTCCCAGATGTCTGTTTTTACATGTACATGTACATCCATGTTATAATGCATGATGTATTTCGTGTGTGGGAGAAATGACAGATGATGGCTACAACCTTGTAATCATGTCCTCATAACCTGTAATCAATCAGCTGCCCATAGACACATGTTCATATACTATAGATAGCGGATTTTCTCAGGTCCAGTACTGTCACACTTTATACCGTGTAAGTGGATTTTTAGGGTTTCAAATTTTGCAGATTTCGCTGATTGATTCCTGATTTGCGGAAAATAAAATTTGCAAAAATCTATTTATTAACAGTACATGTCGTAGAATTTGCAAAATTAAAACCCGCGAATTCAAATTTAATAGATTTTGCGAAGTATAATTCCCTCAAAATAAACCACTTATACAAATTTTACTCTGTTAGAAGACTGCATCCATCCATACCTGTTGCGTTTTGGTAATTTTGTGAGTTTAACTTTTGCTTTTGGAGCAACACTCTCTACTACATAAACAAGCCAAGGCTTCTATTTCCTATCATCATTCGTATACGCATCACACAGGCTTTAATTAGAAGGATCTCCTATACTTCGTAAAGGCTTAGTATTTCTTCAATGCATTATGTAGCCCCCAGGACTGAACATGTTTTAAATTGAGATGAGGTTCGGAGGGTATGCAGTTATAAGTACATGACTTTATCAAGAAGCATATTAAGGTTTCTGACTTTCTGGCTGTGTATAAGTTGGTTCCATGGAAGTTTTAATGCTACGCACAAGCAAAAGGTCATATATGACCTTTTGCTTATCTGTACCACTAAAATCTCCATGGAATCAATTGATACACAGCCAGAAGGTCAGAAATCTTAATATAGATGTGAACCTATGTAGTTTTTATTGTATAATATAACTTAATTATAATATACTTGAGTAGATCAAGATTACTATGAAATGTTACTCCATTATTTTATAATGCAACATACTGAGCTGCCTACTCATGTTGCATGTGTTCTGCATGTGCAGCCTATAGTGCATGTATTTGTACATGTGTGGGTGAGCATTGCATTGCATAGTATCAATGTGCAGCTTGATGTAGGATGTGGCTTTAATTGAATATTCTGTTATTAAGAATCATTGCAAGAATTAGAATTTCAGCTAAGCATGATAGGAATGCGATCAAGGGTCCTCTGGCTATAAAAGGAAGCCAAACTCTGAGCCAAAACACAGCAGCTGAAGAGGAAAAGAAAAGAACTTAATCGACTTTTAGCTGTAACCTTTTGTTCTTTGTCAAAGAATTATCAAAGGTATGAGCTTACTTGCAGGCAAAGTTTTATTTTTGCTCTCTCTCTCTCTCTTTCTCTTTCTCTCTCTCTCTCTTGCTTTCATATAGATGCAGAAAGTAGTTCTCTTCTTTTTGGCTGCAGTCTTTATAGGCACCAATGCTACTATTGATGAATCCCAGTGTTACGAACCTCCAAGTGGCAACCTGTATAGCCTTTACAGGAACTGTCGCAAAGCCACAGACAGTCGTTCAACAAGATGCATGAATGTAGTCGATCGCTATTGCTCTGACGTTACGTATGCTTTTTTTGGCAAACTTCCTACAGCCACTTCTGGGATAATGAGAGGTGTGAAGGCCAACACAAACGAAATATTTATCTCCTGTATAACTACACAGTCTAAAAATGAAGTTAAGTTGAGTGATCTTACTGGATGTAACAGCTTTGATGACATCCAGTCAAAAGAATGCTTAAAAGCTACAAGAGAGTATTGCCAAAGAATGCTTGGAAGCAGAAGTGCTGGATATATATATTTAACTTCTGCTAGTCGTGCACATACTGTTTGCTTTAATTCCGTTGAGCAAGGAACAGTTTCTCCAAGCGATATGTCTTCGTTAAACTCTAACTGCAATGATTTGAGCGATGCTGCAAGTTCTGATTGTTTCAATGCTGCTTGCAAGTGGTGTGAGGGTAAAGGACATGATGGTGGCATTACACAGGGCATTGAAGGCTCTTCTATGATTGTTGCATGCTACAAAGACAACTTCCATAAATATGTCCAAGTCAAGAGTGCCCTGAGTCAAAGTTCTTATTACTATCGTCAGTATCTCGCAGCCAAGAGGAGGTATGAGCAAGCAAGGCAGTACGAGCTGGCTAATGAGGAGGAGTATGGGGAGAATGAGGGGCCCTATCAATTCAGGAGTGACATCAGGGAAGAATAAAGATTTCAAAAGAACTTCTTTATCATTTTTGCTTTGTCATTCATTCATTCATTAGTTTTTGATTTTTAGATTCTCAGTTTTCTTTTTTCGTAGTATTTGCTGCTTAATTGTGTCTTTTGTCATTTTGTTTTTATAAGACAGTTTTTTAAAAAAAACATTGAAAGTTTAAGAATCCTTGTTGTAATAAACATGCAAATAAGGCGTTAATCAAAAATAACTCAGTATTGTAGTAATACAATTGAAGCATAAGAGTGAAGAGAGATTGGAGGAAAGAAGATCCTTACTTCACTGTATGCAGAATGTGTATGAAATTACACATAAAAGGTGCAGTATTCAATCTACACCTTGGTAGTTCTATGCTGACAACTATAAGTGAAAATAAATATTCACATACTAATCAATTATAGATACATGCATACATACCATCATAATGACAAGTTGTCCATATATGTATAGTGTACATTCTTTGTTAGTTACTGTTGTGTGTGGGATAGCTTAACTAATGATGATCTATTGTAGATAATATAAATATTGTCACCAGTAATGATTGAGAATGCACGCAGGTGCATATTCACTTAAAATGCTAATGGAAAGACTGACTCCTACATGATAGAAAATGCCTAACTGCTATAATCAGAGGCCTTTCAAGCCTCATTCTAACATAATTTTGGCATGTAGGAGTAGTAATCTTGGCATTCGTGCCCAGCAGTCTAGTGTAACAGTACTATATGTGGACTATATAGTATGAAGTCTGTCTTCCATATTTAGCAATTAAGTGGCCTAGCTTGTATTTAGTCCCAAAACCTTTCAAAAGTTTAATGAAATGTATGTATAATGGTAACATGCAGTTGTACATCTGTCACTATCTGTCATCGTTTGTATTGAAAGTTAAGACTAACGGGACTTGTATACTTTTATAATAATTAGACCACTGCATTTTTATAAAAGGAAGCATGTTAAACTCCAGCAAGATAAGGAAAGATAGAGAAATTAAGACTGTATATCTATACTGAAGACACTTTAGAGAAAAGGTAAAATTTCTTCTTCTGTATACAAACACACGACATCTTCCCTGTAGATGCAGAAAATCGTTATCATCCTTTTAGCTGGGGCTATTGTGAGTTGCTATGCAGCTATTGATGAAACACAGTGCTATGAAACTCCCAAGGGAACCTTGTATCGTCTCTACAGGAACTGCCGTAAAGCCTCTGAGAGTCGTTTAACAAAGTGCACAAATGTTTTTGATCGTTATTGCTCTAACGTTCAGTATGCATTTGTTGGTAAGCTTAGTACCTCAACCACTGGAGTCATGAGAGAAATAAAAGAGGATACAAATGAGGTCTCTTTCTCCTGTATTAAGGCCACGTCTAAGGTTGAAGTTGAAATGAGCTCACTTCATAGCGAAGTTCGTGGTTGTGATGATCTTGAAAAACTTCAGTCAGGGGATTGCTTGCTGGCAATCCACAGATACTGCCAGAATATGAATGGTCGCTCCTCTTCTGGTTTCGCATATAGTGATTCAGCCACTCATGCTAAAATTGCCTGCTTTGATGCAGTGAAACAAAAACGAGTTGCAGTAAATAGTTTGGTTTTACATAATTCCAAATGCGACGATCCAAGCAAAAGTGCAAGCTCTGATTGCTTCAATGCTGCTTGCAAATGGTGCGAAGCTAAAGGACATGATGGTGGTATGACACAGGGCAGTGAAGACAATGAGATTATTGTTTCGTGTTATGATGACTACTTTCACACTACAGCTACAATTAAGAATCGAGTTGCCTCAACGAGTGATTATTATTATCGTCAATACCTTGCTGCTAAGAAGAAATGGGAACAAGCAAAGCAAGAGGAAGAGCCTCAGGAGTGGAATGATCCCATGAATAATTCTGATGAATTTCAATTCACTGATCATGCTTTTGAAGAATAAAGACTGATTTCAATACAGGGACTTTTTGTAGTGACTGAATAGTTTTGTATCCTTTAGTTTGAATTGTAGCTTAGTTATAGATTAATTTGTGATGCTAATTACTGATTTTTTAATTTAAGAATTATTTTTAAACTAAAGTATCTGATATTATTATAGTGCGCTGCATTTCCACTGCTGATAGTTATATCTAGCTGCATGAGAATTGTCATGCATGCATGCAAGTAGATCTACATGCAGTACTGTACATGAATGTAGTATCTTGTAGCATTGGGTTTAATTGTTTGGAAAAACTTTAAAACAACTTGATAATTGCTTGTACCACATGTTGCTTGCTACTGCTGCCTCGCAACAACTGCATGGTCAGGTGGTTATTGTTGACATAATACACTCTGCTAAAGCATGTATGCACATATGGTCTTTATGTTATTTAAACTCATTACAATAACTAATTTTGGACTGGGTACACTATTTAGCTAATGTCCACAGCCTTTTAAGAGAAATTAATGTTAATTGTTTTGTGAACATGTATGATGTATATCTAATAAAAGGCTATAGCAAGCATGTAGCTAGTTGATAGTTCTATTGTATTAGTCATGCAACTAAATTTTCAAGCTGTTCTTTATTACATAAACTATTTACTATACACAAAACCTCATTTTTATATAGATCACAGAACAATCTCATAATAGACAAGAATTAATAGGTCTATTGTCCTTGAGCTAATTATTTGAGTGTAGATAGGTGTGGTTTCCATCACAAAATAATCTCAGCAGTCAGCACTATTAGAGCTAAAAGCAGCAATCGAGCAGGAATAAGATGTATGATGTGATTATTATTGGTGCTGGCGTTGAAGGAAGTGCTACAGGATACCACCTAGCTTCAAAAACCGGCAAAAAAGTGCTGCTCCTGGAGCAGGTCTGTTTCAAGAGAATACCCTTATGATCTTGTGATTAATAATTAATATTTTTTAGTTTGACAGAGGACATACAAGAGGTAGTTCTCATGGAGGGTCCCGTATCACTAGGAGAGCTTATCATCAAAGCTATTATGTTAAAATGATGGACGAAGCTTTTAAACTGTGGTCGGACATTGAGAAAGAATCAGGGAAGCAGTTGTATCAGTAAGTTAACACTGATATTGATTTTGATATTGATTACATGTACAAGCATTGCGATTTAACTCTTAAGTAGATTTTGTTGATACTAAAAATTGTGATTATATTATTTTATATTTATTGTTGATTTAGTGTTATAATTAATTAACTACATGTATTAATTTTATTTCAATGGCAAAAATAGTAATTGATAGTACCCATGATTTAGAAGTACCTCTAAGGTATTTAGTTTTATCTTAAATGCCAAATCAAATTATAGTTTTTCAGTTAAATTACAGTAAAAATTCAGCTAGCGGTATTAGGAAAATATTTAATTTTTTAGTAAAACCGGAATAATTGTTTTTGGTCCGGAAAAATCTGCTTCCAACTCGAGGAAAAGAATCCAAGACTACATCAAATCAATGGAGGACAATGGAGTGTCTCATCGAGTTATGAGAGCTAAAGAAGTTAATGATGAATATAAGGATCAGTTGAAGTTACCTGATGAGTACTTGTGTGTGTCTGAAGAAGATGGAGGAATATTGAGAGCCTCTAAAGCTGTTGATACTTTACAAGTAAAAGAGGGAGGGCTCTATCAGCCTTTATATAAATTTCCCTTCCTTTCCTCTCTCTCTCTCTCTCTCTCTCTCTCTCAGGATTTATTCATACAAAATGGTGGTGAGTTGCTTGATAATCATCAAGTGACTGGTATAATCAATAATGATGATGATACCATCACTATACTCACTGGCAGTGGGACTCAGTTCAATACTAAGAAACTGATACTAACCACTGGACCATGGACTAACAAAGTATTGCAATATACTGGAATTGAACTACCTTTAAAAGTAAGAGGGAGAGATCCTGAAACAGTATGCATTTGAAATTGTTCCAAATTTTGACAAAATACCATATATGTACTATACAGGGTATCTTTAAAATTGCTTGAAAAAAATTATCTATTTTATTTAAAAATACATATATTGTGCCGCAAGTTTGAGCAGATCCTAATCAAAATTAGACTTTTACAGATTTCGAAAGTTATTGCAGTAGCATTACTAAGTAGGATTCAACCCAAAAATGAAATGGCTGCCACGACTTTTGTAGCCTTGCTATACCGGGAAAAAGAACTCACTCCTATGCTTACCAGACTTTTGAGGACCTAGTACAGGGGTTTTGGCCAAGTTGAGTCAAAAATGAAAAGGAGAGAATTCTTTACTTTTGCAATTTTTTGGATGTGCCATGTATTCATTGCTTTTGATATTAAATGTAATAAAAAGGGACCACTCCCTGCTGTAGTGCAATACAGGTGTGATCCCACGATAGGTCAAAGCAAGCCTTGAGCACTATCAGTGTGAAAAGAAATAGAGCAATCGTCTTTCCACCCAGTGGGCAGAGTTTGAGCGATTAAACTCAAAAGAACAGTTATTTCTACTTGATCTTAGCCAGTAGGCCGAGAAGCGATGGCATTGCTAAATTTCAAGTGACCTTTTATACTGGAAGTTTGAACAATGGCATCGTGGGTCCACTTCCTGTAGTTACACGTCTTGCCATAACTATGAATGCTGCTACTTATCACATTGTCACCAGAGCTTGGATATACTATTACACATAATGGCAAGAGTGGATAATTATTTAGGATTTATCCACTCTTAATAGTAGCATCAAACTCTTGGTACCAGCATTATACCATATAACGCTTTAATTTGGCGGAGTTTTATTTTGGCGATTGGCAGTTTGCAAGCAGAATCGCCAATATTAAAACCGCCAATCATTAATGTGCATGCTCAGTAATGCACGTGTGTACACAAAAATCGTCAAATTAAAAACCGCCAATTACAATTTTACATCAAAATTGCCAAAATAAAGTGCCGCCAAAATAAAGCGTTATACAGTATTATATTCTGGTACCTGATATAAAATAAGAAATGCCTGGTTTTAAGTGAAATTGATTGAAATAGAATTTTGAAGTACATTTAAAGACCTTCATACACAAGGCAACTTGTTGCTGCCAACCAAGGAGCATGTTGCCAAAAAATAGAACATGTTTCTATTCTCCGCAACATGTTACTTACAAGATCAAAGTACCCACAAATGTTACTAGCAACAAGTTGCGTCATGTATGAGGGCCTTAACTTTATGTGTCCTTATTTTGCAGTAGCAGTGATATCAGTATGGGGGCCTTAACTTTATGTGTCCTTATCTTGCAGTAGCAGTGATATCAGTATGGGGGCCTTAACTTTATGTGTCCTTATCTTGCAGTAGCAGTGATATCAGTATGGTGGCCTTAACTTTATGTGTCCTTATCTTGCAGTAGCAGTGATATCAGTATGGGGGCCTTAACTTTATGTGTCGTTATCTTGCCATAGTAGTGATATCAGTATGGGGGCCTTAACTTTATGTGTCCTTATCTTGCAGTAGCAGTGATATCAGTATGGGGGCCTTAACTTTATGTGTCCTTATCTTGCAGTAGCAGTGATATCAGTATGGGGGCCTTAACTTTATGTGTCCTTATCTTGCCATAGTAGTGATATCAGTATGGGGGCCTTAACTTTATGTGTCCTTATCTTGCCATAGTAGTGATATCAGTATGGTGGCCTTAACTTTATGTGTCCTTATTTTGCCGTAGCAGTGATATCAGTATGGGGGCCTTAACTTTATGTGTCCTTATCTTGCCGTAGCAGTGATATCAGTATGGGGGCCTTAACTTTATGTGTCCTTATCTTGCCGTAGTAGTGATATCAGTATGGTGGTCTTAACTTTATGTGTCCTTATCTTGCAGTAGCAGTGATATCAGTATGGGGGCCTTAACTTTATGTGTCCTTATCTTGCCATAGTAGTGATATCAGTATGGTGGCCTTAACTTTATGTGTCCTTATCTTGCAGTAGCAGTGATATCACGGGGGCCTTAACTTTATGTGTCCTTATCTTGCAGTAGCAGTGATATCAGTATGGGGGCCTTAACTTTATGTGTCCTTATCTTGCAGTAGCAGTGATATCAGTACATGCATTTGATAAATTTAAGACAATTATTACCTTTATTTTTTATCAGGTTCACAAAGCTGAAGTTTTTTACTGGAGGACGGAAAATCCAAAGCATTTCTCTGCTGATGTTTTCCCAGTTTTTGTTGGTATCAGTGGAGATGGTCACACATATGGACTACCTGTGTTTGAATATCCTGATCTATTAAAAGTATGTCATTTAAAAATAATGTCATTTACCTCAGAATAAAATATGCCATTTACCCTTTACATGTATATCAAGTGTACTTTAAAGTCTTTGAACTATAACTATTATACAATATTATTTTTATTGGCCTTGCCCAGCTTTGCATAGGCAAGGACTACTAGGTACTACTATTGTCTGTCTGTCTTTAAAAATGGCACCTGCTTTTATGACTATAATTATGCATGGTTGATTCAATTGTGGAAAGGTTGAACTGATATTCTCTTCACGTAATCCTTATAGGTATGTCCACACACTTATGAAGAGATTGATCCTGATGCCAGGGATGTTAATCCTACTAGTGTTGGCCTGCCTGTTGTATCTCAGTTCATTAAAGAGCACTTTAAAGGAGTAGATCACACTAAACCAGCCATTCATGAATTTTGCATATGGACACAAACTGTATGTGACTTATAACATATTTCAATATATGCTTCATCATTCTCTTCTCTTCTCATTTATTTCTTTTTAGTCTAATTATGATCCATTTCTCGATTACCATCCAAATTACCCTAACATCATAATTGGAGCTGGTTTTTCAGGTCAAATAAATAATAATAATTTTTATTCACTTACAACGTAATATATTGTTCTAAGATCAAGCATCCACATACAAGTGTGTATTGTACATCTATTAAATATATACTCACCTACAGGTCATGGTTTTAAGTTAGCTCCAATTGTTGGGAAGATATTGAGTGAACTGGCCTTGGGTGAAACTCCTTCCTATGACCTTTCACCTTTCAAGATACAACAAGCTTATACTGTAAGCACATGTAGGCAGCCACCAAAGTTCCTTGAACAGGATCTACTTCTGCAAACTTGTTTCCCAATACATGTATAATTTAAAATGAGGAATTCTCTCCTAGCAATTTAAAAAATACCCTGTATAGTAAATACTATGGAATTTTAACTTCAATTATTCAAGATATATCCAAGGCTATATATAGCCCATGGTTTTTTCCAAAAAATGGCTCCGAAATTACTCCAAATTTTTATTAAATTTTCTGACTTATTATGATGTACTTATGCTGTGTAGCAAGTTTGAGGTGATTCCGACTTCAATTTTTCAAGTTACGGCCATTTTAAGAAAACGACAAAATTCTGAAAAATACCCAAGGCTATAGCCCATGGTTTTTTCCAAAAAATGGCTCCAAAATCACCTCAAATTTTTATTAGATTTTCTGATACATATTGATGCCCTTATGCTGTGTAGCTATAGTTTGAGGTGATTCCGACTTCAATTTTTAAAATTCCTGTAAAGGGACTTTGGCCTGATTCTTGAGCAACTTTAAAAATATTGGTAAAAAATTAATTTTTATTGAAATTAGCTCAAACTTTGTGCTTTTGACAGTTGATTTTATACATGAAATTATACCCATTCCTTTTACATGTATATTAAAAATTCCCATTAAAATTAAATCATAGTCATTATTATCTAGAGTATTTTTGCTGGGAAGTAGCTCAAATTTTATACTCGTATATAACTGTTAATTTTTAATTCTAACTGCACATCAAATTCATACACATTACTTACATTCCTTTTACATGTATAGTAAAATTTCCTATTAAAATTAAAATTTTAGCTATTATTATCTAGAGTATTCCGTCTATTGTTGCTCCTCCTGCCAATAAAGAAGTTCAAACTAGTACAAGTTCTCCTCCTCTTGCTCCTCCTCCTGAGCACAACCTTTATGACGTGATAGTAGTTGGAGCTGGAGTTGAAGGAAGTGCTACAGCTTATACACTCACTGCAAAGGGAAAGAGAAATATCCTCCTGCTTGAACAGGTGGGGCAGGAGCAGGCTTAGAGAAGTGTGGAGAGAGAGAGAGAGGGAGACAGGAGAGATATCATACCATTTTAATATTTTTTTAGTTTGATAGAGGACATACAAGAGGTAGTTCACATGGAGGGTCCCGTATCACTAGGAGAGCTTATCATCAAAGCTATTATACAGGATTGATGGACGAAGCTTTTAAACTGTGGTCTGAGATTGAGAAAAAATCAGGGAAGCAGTTGTATCAGTAAGTTAACACTGATATTGATTTTGATTTAGTAGATAAATTGTTAATGAAATATGCTTTGTTTTGTATATGTAATTCTGTATTACTTGTTCTTTTTCTAGTAAAACCGGTATTTATGTGTTTGGTTCAAAGGATTCCAAGGGAAGTCTTAAAGGATCTTCAGTAGCCGACTACATCCAATCAATGGAGGACAATGGAGTGTCTCACAGAGTTATGAGAGCTAAAGAAGTTAATGATGAATATAAGGATCAGTTGAAGTTACCTGATGAGTACTTGTGTGTGTCTGAAGAAGATGGAGGAATACTGAGAGCATCTAAAGCTGTTGATACTTTACAAGTACAAATGGAGAGAAAGAGGGAGGGAACTATCTGCCTTTCATTATGTACATATGTATCCCTCTCTCTGTCTCTGTCTCTGTCTCTGTCTCTCAGGATTTATTCATACAAAATGGTGGTGAGTTGCTTGACAATCATCAAGTGACTGGTATAATCAATAATGATGATGATACCATTACTGTACTCACTGGCAGTGGGACTCAGTTCAATACTAAGAAACTGATACTAACCACTGGACCATGGACTAACAAAGTATTGCAATATATTGGAATTGAACTACCTCTAAAGGTACATGTAAGAAAGACAGGAGTTTAAGTTGAAATAATGTTTATTAAATGTCTAAATTTTAAATTACCTTGATGCAACTTTATTTTCTTCATTTTAGATGCTAAGAGTGGAGCATTGCTATTGGAAGACATTGAATCCTGAGTCATACTCAGTGAGGAATTTCCCTGTATTTGCTTGTATTCTTTCTACTGGACTTGTGTATGGAGTACCAATACTAGAATACCCTGGATTAGTTAAAGTAATACTCAGTCTCATTACTATAGACTATGTGCAATGTTGCTATACTCTATTTTTTTGTTGTTTTTTCTGTCGTGCTCTTTTTTGTAGATTTCTTTTCGCAATATCAAAGAGATAGAGGTTGATCCCGATTGCAGGGACTTTAAATCCTCTCATCTTGAAGATTGCAAAATACTCTCCGAGTTTCTGGAGACCCATTCGTTTAGAGATCTTGACTACTCAACTCCTGCCATAGTTGAGCAGTGCATTTACACGAAGACAGTGAGTTACAGTATAGCAGGTTTCTTTTCTCAGGCAAACTTTCATTTTTTGTCAAAAATACAACTTTCTATTTTTAACTTTCTGTAAAAAAAACACACGTGCTTGTTTCTGTAATTTTGTGTGTTTAATTTTCATTTTTGGAGTTTTTTTGAGAATTTAAGAACTAAAGTTTGGTCATACAAAAATTTGCTGTAATACATTATTTAATGATGTTTGGGTGCAAATTTTGCTCATGTATCAATTCCAACTCTTGGAATTGTAAATCATGCATGCTCTTAGCTTATAAGCTTCACCTAACTTTCAAAATGCATGCTAGCATATTTAAAATGGATTGTTAAATTTATACATTCAAATAAAATGACTTACATGTGTATCTCTTTATTTGTGTAGCCTTCTAGTGATCCTTATCTTGATTACCATCCAAATAATCCAAACATAATAATTGGTGCAGGATTTTCAGGTCGGTTCATTGTATTAGACCACCTAATATTATTTTAAAGTATCATAATGTATGTACTCACCTACAGGTCATGGTTTTAAGTTAGCTCCAATTGTTGGGAAGATATTGAGTGAACTGGCCTTGGGTGAAACTCCTTCCTATGACCTTTCACCTTTCAAGATACAACAAGCTTATACTGTAAGCACATGTAGGCAGCCACCAAAGTTCCTTGAACAGGATCTGCTTCTGCAAACTTGCTACCCAATACATGTATAATTTAAAATGAAGACTTCTCTCCTAGCAATTTTAAAAAATACCCTGTATAGTAAATACTATGGAATTTTAACTTCAATTTTTCAAGTTACGGCCATTTTTAAAAAATGGCAAAATTCAGAAAGATACCCAAGGCTATAGCCCATGGTTTTTTTCAAAAAATGGTTCCAAAATCACCCCAATTTTTATTAGATTTTCTGATACATATTGATGTCCTTATGCTGTGTAGCCAGTTTGAGGTGAATCCGACTTGAATTTTTCAAGTCACGGCCATTTTAAGAAAATGCCAAAAATCTGAAAAACACCCAAGGCTATAGCCCATGGTTTTTCCCAAAAAATGGCTAAAAAATGACCCCCAATTTTTATTAGATTTTCTGATACATATTGATGTCCTTATGCTATGTAGAAAGTTTGAAGTGATTCCGACTCCAATTTTTCAAGTTACGGCCATTTTTAAAAAATGCCAAAAATCTGAAGAATACCCAAGGCTATAGCCCATGGTTTTTTCCAAAAAATGGCTCCGAAATTACCCCAAATTTTTATTACATTTTCTGATCTATATTGATGCCCTTATGCTGTGTAGAAAGTTTGAGGTGATTCCGACTTCAATTTTTAAAATTCCTGTAGATGGACTTTGGCCTGATTCTTGAGCAACTTGAAAAATATTGGTAAAAAATTAATTTTATTGAAATTAGCTCAAACTTTGTGCTTGTGACAGTTAATTTTATATATGAAATTATACCCATTCCTTTTACATGTATATTAAAATTTCCTATTAAAATTAAAATTTTAGCTTTTATTATGTAGAGTATTCCATCTATTGTTGCTCCTCCTGCCAATAAAAAAGTTCAAACTAGTGCAAGTTCTCCTCCTCTTGCTCCTCCTCCTGAGCACAAACTTTATGACGTGATAGTAGTTGGGGCTGGAGCTGAAGGAAGTGCTACAGCTTATACACTCACTGCAAGGGGAAAGAGAAATATTCTCCTCCTTGAACAGGTGGGCCAGGAGCAGGCTTAGAGAAGTGTGGAGAGAGAGAGGGAAAGAAATGGAGAAAAAAGGTATAAATGCAATTTTATTTAATTTTTTAGTTTGATAGAGGACACACAAGAGGTAGTTCATCTGGTGGATCCCGTATCACAAGGAAGGCTTATCATCAGGGCTATTATGTAAAAATGATGGACGAAGCTTTTAAGCTGTGGTCGGACATTGAGAAAAAATCAGGAAAGCAGTTGTATCAGTAAGTTAACACTGATATTGATACTAATTTTAATCCTAGTAGAATCCACATTGTTAATTTATGCTTTGTTATCTGTAATACTTTTTTATAGTAAAACAGGTTTTTATGTGTTTGGTTCGAAGGATTCCAAGGGAAGTCTTAAAGGATCTTCAGTAGCTGACTACATCCAATCAATGGAGGACAATGGAGTGTCTCACAGAGTTATGAGAGCTAAAGAAGTTAATGATGAGTATAAGGATCAGTTGAAGTTACCTGATGAGTACTTGTGTGTGTCTGAAGAAGATGGAGGAATACTGAGAGCATCTAAAGCTGTTGATACTTTACAAGTACAAATGGAGAGAAAGAGGGAGGGAACTATCTGCCTTTATATAACTTTCCCTTCCTCTCCCCTCTCTCTCTCTCTCTCTTTCTCTCTCTCTTTCCCTCTGTCTTTTAGGATTTATTTATACAAAATGGTGGTGAGTTGCTTGACAATCATCAAGTAACTGGTATAATCAATAATGATAATGATACCATCACTGTACTCACTGGCAGTGGGACTCAGTTCAATACTAAGAAACTGATACTAACCACTGGACCATGGACTAACAAAGTACTGCAATATACTGGAATTGAGCTACCTTTAAAGGTATTTATTTTATGCACTGATGTAACTTTATTTCCTTCATTCATTGTAGATATTGAAAGTTGAACATTTTTATTGGAAGACATTGAAACCAGAGTCCTTTGCAGTCGGGAATTTTCCAATATTTGCTTGCGTTCTTTCTACTGGACTTTTATATGGACTGCCAGTACTAGAATACCCTGGATTGATGAAAGTAATATGCTACAAAAATATAATCAAACTACATCATTGTAATGTCAATTTATTTTATTCTTTTTTTGTCTCTTTCTTGTAGATTTCTTTTCACAATACTAGTAAGGGGACAGAGGTTGATCCTGATTGTAGGGACTTTCTAACTCCTCGTCCTGAGGCGTCTAAAATAATCTCAGAGTTTCTGGAGGCTCATTCATTTAAAGATCTTGACTACTCAAGCCCTGCCATTGTGGAGGAGTGCATGTACACGAAGACAGTGAGTTATTGTAGATCCTACTTTCAAAATCCTTTATAAAGAAAAATTCTAAAGAACTATTCTTTTATTTATGAAATGGTGGATTAAAGCATTGAATAATTGCCCCCCCTCTCCCTCTCTTTTTGTGTAGCCTTCTGGTGATCCTTATCTCGATTACCATCCAAATAATCCAAACATCATAATTGGTGCAGGATTTTCAGGTCAGTTCATTGTATTAGACCACCTAATATTATTTTAAAGTATCATAATGTATGTACTCACCTATAGGTCATGGTTTTAAGTTAGCTCCAATTGTTGGGAAGATATTGAGTGAACTGGCCTTGGGAGAAACTCCTTCCTATGACCTTTCACCTTTCAAGATACAATCATGAAGACAAATTGGATTTTCTATGCATTATCTATATTTTTGATGCAACAATAAATGACAGCTGAAATCAAATTGACAAAATGTTATGTAAATGTTTTTTGTCATTAGCTTGGTTTACCTGTGATTTTAGAAAATGGCTAGTGCCATGGGGTATACTTACTCAATTAATTATTCTCTATAATTGATTTTTTACTTGAACTAAAATTTTTAAGCTAATTTTTTTAAATGCAAAAACTAAAAGAGAATTTATGCTCTGCACCAAAACTAAAATTAGAACTAAAAAACATAAAAAACTTAAACTAAAAGTAAAGTGACCACTCAACTAGAACTATATATGACCAAAACAAATGTTCATACAACCAAAAACAGCACTATACAAATGGCTTAACAATTCAACTTCAGCATGTAAAATTAAATGTTACGTCTTCCTGGACTTTCATTCCTCATACTTCTAACAATAGATAGCAATTGATCCACTGAATTGTTTAGATCTTTCACTTCTTCAGATAATGGTTTGATATGATTCTTGACATCAGCTATAGTTGCCTTCATTAATAATAATTATTTATTATTAATTGAATGAATAATAAGTTTTTACTCACAGGAAGCTCAGTTTTAGTAGATATTTCAATCCGCTTTGACCAATCATTAATATATTTTTTAAAGCGGTCACTTAATTTTTGCTTGTCACTTAACTTTTGTTCGTCACTTAATTCTTGCTTGTCACTGTTTTTTTTATTTCCTGTTTGCCATAAATCCAAAGAATCTTTAAATTTCTTCATTATTCTTTTGTCAACAATGGGTAGAGCAGTTTTAAATAGTAGAGTAAGTTATCAATTTCTGGACGCATCCAAATTTGGATGCCTGTTTTAGGAAAACTATGCTCTGATATCTCATGAAACTACAAAGTCTATTATGGAAATAGTTGTATTTGATTTGTGTGAAAATCTTCAGCTCTAGTGAGAGTGTATCAAAAGTTACCAGCTATATAGACCATCTGCAATAGGTGGGTAGTTAGGGGTTACATCATAGTATGTAGTATCTATGGTTAGATATAGGCGTCACTTTGGCAATGGGTAGGCATAGATACTACGTGTAGTCTAGTAGATAAATACCAGGCTACAATGGCTCATTCATTGATACTTAAAAATGTACTCTATTTCGGCCAAATTTAAAGAAAAGTACAATGCTTAAAGCCAACTTGTTTACTACAGAAATTTGACGTAATGTTGTAATATTTATTTTATGAAAGAGATATGTTGTTGTGAAAAATAACTTTACACAGACACATAGAAAAAGGGGAAATTCCTGTGAGGGTATCATCATCAAAACATCATAGTTAACATCAGACACATTTAGGTAAGTAATATGACTAGCCCCGAGACTATGCTTTGAGAGCTGATAGCTTTTGATGCATTTATGCTAAAGCTGCAATTTTTTCACACAAGTAAAGGCTATTATACTTTGCAGTTTCATTAGATTTCAAAGCATAGTTTTTCTAAAGCAAGCATCTGAATTTGTATGTGTCCGGAAATTGATAACTTACTTGAAACGTAAAAATTTTTCCACAGGTAGTGTAAATTCTAACTATAAACATTTAAAATTGTATTAATGGTTATGCAATCAATAGACTTACTTTCAAGCGTAGTCTATAAGTATCAGATTTTTTTTCTATTTCTTGAACTATATCACCAACAGCTAAACTAGTCTATATAAATAAAAATGGCTATTATTATTATTTATTATTTTATTATCATTATTATTATGGTCAAAATTGGTTGTAGTAGCTATTAATGTAAATAAAATTTTATTTACTCTAATATCTAGTCTATGCTGTAGACGTACCAATAGATTGATGAATAAAATTGGCATTAAAACCACAAACACAATTAATAGTGAAAATGCAACCACTGGATACTGTACATCAGGGGAATTGATTTGGTTATCTTGGTGCAACAAAGAATCTAATCTCAAGTGTCCTGCTGCCATTGTTATTGTTTTATAAATTGTCCTCCATGGAGTATTAAATGGAGTACGCTGTACAAAGAGAGAGGAAGAGAAAGGGAGAAACATCATGCAATCATTTAGATATTATTATTATAAATTCTTACTATTCCTTCTAATTTGCCTTGAATATCATAAAATATCATATAAAATGGAAAAGCAAAGGCAAAGACCAATAGCAAAGCCAGGACAACAACCTTTCTAATGAGATTATAAAGTATTGTTATATACATAACCACATATATTCCAACTACAGGTAGCCTCCTAATAGAGAATATAAGTACAATCCAGCTGAAAAACACAGCAATCACTCCAATCTGCCACTGCCATGACTCAGTACAATAGCACTGGTTACTACGTACAAAAGCAAAAATTACTATAAAGATGAACAAAAACACTTCCAAAATGGACTGCCATCTACGCAGAATCAGTTGAGCTAATAATTTAGATAGTAACATGATAAGAGAATAAAATATCAGACATATGCTAACAAAAGACACGTATCTTTGAGATAGCAAACTTTCCTCTAAACATTGTTAGTCAAATGATAATCACAGGATTATTGCTCACTTACCAGGAAAGCAATCAATAACTGTGTCATTGTCATTTTCAAAAACTTTCATACCTATAATATAATATATCAGGATATAGGTATTAATAACTTACATAAATTTGAATTTGGTGACTGGACAGTGAGAGCAAATGACGTCAGTAGAATCAAAAACAAAATATAAAACATCAATTTGCTATAATAGAGTATTTTTCCATATCTCTTCCATTTTAAATCAAGTAGTGCAGTGGCAAGTGGATGCTGCAATAAGTCAGCATTTGGAGAATTAGCCTAATGAATAATGTAATGGTACTATGGATGGTAAACAATATATGCATGGTAATGCATGTGAGTATCACGTCACATTTCTGATGTTTAATTTTGTGAGGTATTACAAATTACAATAACTCTCCTAGTTCAGGCTTATTAGCAGGAAGTTATACAAATGCATGAAAGAAATTTTTATAAATAAAACAAAGGACAAGCAAATGATATACTAATATATAATAAATATTTATTGCAATGAATGGGTGTGGCATTTGCCGCATTTCAATGGGCTAATTGATATATAAAAAATTTTAATGGTTTTCGTGTTTTTTTTTAATTTACAAAAATAAAATCCACGAAAATCAATTTAATACGGTTCAAGATGGCCGAAAAGTAGAAAACTACGAAAATTAAAGCCACGGAATTGATTTATAAATGGATCCACAAAAATTTTGGGCAACGAAAATTTCTCGCTACTTGATAAAAATTATAACTTACAAGAATATGAAGACAATCATTCTGAATAGAGTACACTGGGGCTATGCTAAAAATAGAAAATAAATAAATACAGGAAATTCAGTATCTATTACCGGTTGTTTAACCATTCTGAATCAAAATCTTCAAGAAATTCAAAATTAGGATCATCTGGATTTGCTTTATAGCAGCAATCAAAAACAGCTTCAACTACATCTAAAAGATATGTAATAAATGTATGATGACACTTGCATACATGTATACATTGTAATATATACAATGTATACATGTCACATCCAGCTATTAACCTGCTGGCATTTTTTTAATTGCTCTTCTCATTGGTGTTTTGAATTGTGTATAAGCATCATTGTTGTTGCATTCAACACATCCTCTACTGTTGCATCGATGACAAATACCTTTCTTTTTACGCTTAACAGTGGTGACATTCATTAATGCATCTCTCCACTTCTCACTATTCACTATAGCCATTGCAGCATCTCTAAATAGAAATGAAAACACAGAAATTAGTCATACTTTATGATTATGCGTTCCTAGTATAAAACAATCAATACTTTTATTAAAATAATTAGATCTACTGGTTTATTTTTGTAGTGATTTTGTACAAAAATAATCCAAATTTAGATCTATTCACAAAAATTTTGCAAATTCCTATAGCTGACTGAGTAGCTATTGAAGCAGAATAAATTTTGCAAATTGAGGATGGTTTGTGAAATTAAAAATTTTTTACAATGAAATAAACAAGTATAAGGTTACATTATTCTAACTTTTGTTCTTTTTTAATAGCAATTTCAAAAGGATTAAGACCATCTTTATTACAGGCAGTAATCTCAGCTGCATCATACTCCAACAGTAGTTTGACTGCTCGTGCATGTCCCCCTTTACAGGCAATATGAAGTGCATTATGCTACATAATAATAATAAATAATGATAATAATGATAATAATAATAATAATAATAATAATACTAATAATAATAATAAATAATGATAATAATGATAATAATAATAATAATAATAATAATAATAATAATAATAATATACTACCCTGACAGCCATGAATGCAGCAAAATACGGGTGAGGACAGCCAGATGTGACGTTTATGACGTTTTCTTATATAGAAAACTCTATATTCATAATATTGTATAGAGGAGTTTTATATTCATGTGTTTAAAGTATCTATACTAGTCTTGCTAGCCAGATCATTCCCCAACTTACAGTCATTTGAGTATTGACCAATGGGTTCTTATTGTACCAGCCCTTAAAATTTATTGGTATCCCAATTTACAATTATTTGTACCCATTATCAATGATACAGTATTAGTCAATCATTGTATGATAGTCCTAACTAAATCAATCAATGTTTAACATAATGTCACCTCCACATTATGAGAGACACATTAACTGATCAATCATTAGCTGATACTAATGGACTAATGTACATATACTGTACATTACAACAGTCACTAGTCAATAATGTCTGCTGGAGTAAAGGAGGAGGAGTGTATCTGTTAATAGCAGCGATTGTAGTATTTAATTATAGCAGAGATAATAATTACTACGATACTAATTCCTACTAATTATTATTTATTATCTCTGATTATAGTATTTGATTGTAGTATTTGATAATAGCATTTGATTTGATTATAGTATTATTTGTTTAAGTAATAATTTTAACAACAACAGCTGCTACTAGAGACTTAAGGCTGGTTTACAATATGACAGCTAGGAAGAGACACACACATATTATGGTAAACTAGTCAATATAGTGTCTCCTGGAGTAGAAGAGGTGTCTGTTATAAGGAGTGTATCTGTTAATAGTATAATCACATTGTACTATATGTAAAGGTTATATATACAATGAGGTGGAGGTATATTTATCATACTGAGGGCTGTAGGCCCAAAGTATGATAAACGCCATAGCCCAATGACCATAGGCAGGAATGGTCTGGTTTGTGAGACTATATTTATGCTGTATAAAACGAGGAGCTCATAAAAAAAAGAAAAGAGTTGATCAATTTTTGTTGTTACAGCTAGTGAAATAATAATAATGGCAGCTATTAAATGGCAAGATGTAAAATTGGGCTGCTGTCAAAAGTAGATATAAAATCTTTGTAATGTACTATGCAAGACTACTAAAACAATGCAAAATGCTAAACAGAAAAAACTCATTTGTAGTTAGCTACATGCAATTGGCATTCTGGTAACTCTACAAGGTTGTGCTCTAAAAAGTGAACACTGCAGTAGGCTACTGACTGCAGTTCATCCTTATTGTTTTTTACTAGATGTATTACACTGCAATCTATATAATTGAAAATCATTATGCCCAGGTGAGGTACTAGTTTGTTATGCTACCTTTTTCTTGTTATTATTTATTATTATTATAAATATTAGCTTATTTTTGGCTATTTATAATTTTTATTTCCTATTTTTTGTTTATTGGTTGTTTGTACTGTCACCATGAATCTTTTTATTGGCCTCACCTATTATGCAGCAACTAGCATGGGCAAGGACTAGTGGACTAGCAGCAATGTGTTGCAAGCAACTTTTGTGGCTACTGCATCTGAAATAGCCTGTTAGACTATTTTTCACGAAGTTGATTAGATACAAGATCAAAATAACCATCAAATGCTGCTAGAAACATGTTACTTAGTGTATATGTTAATCTTAAATAGCTTGATAATAATAATAATAATATTATTATAGTGCATCTTAGGCTTACTTTATGATTATCAGTGCATTTCTTAATGTCATCTATTGGACCCCTTTTAAGCATTAGTTTCAAAATCTTCACAAAGCCACTTTTAGCTGCAATGAATAGTGGAGTCAAATTTTTCTCATTAAACATATTTGGATCAGCATCATGTTTTAGTAGGATATCAGCAAGTTCTATATCATTTTTTTCACAAGCAATATGAAGTGGTGTATAACTATTCTTATCTTTAGCAGCTAAAATTTTAATTCTATCTTCATCAGAACATAATGATAAGATTACGTTGGCAATTCTATCATGACCACGCTGGCAAGCAAGGTGAAGTGGTGTCATCCCATCGTTACAACGTTTTAAGCAATTAGGCTTTTTTTTCATAAGAAGCTCAGCAACTCTTTCATTATCATTTTGACAAGCTCTGTGCAATGGTGTCCATCCTTTATGTTTATTACGCTTGTTGATAAGCACATCTTTGCATGATAACAATATAGGAATAGCAACATTGTTACTACGCATACAGGCTATGTGAAGTGGTGTGTCATCATTTATATCTTTAGAATTAATATCGACTTCACGTCTGTTGACTAAATCAATTAGCATAGATAGGAGTGCTTTCAATTTAGGAGGATCTCCTAATTTTGGATTTGGAAATGGATAAAAAGCTGCCCAATGTAGTGCAGTGCGTTTTTCATCACCTGAACGTTTGTTTGGATCTGAATATGAAAGATACAAAAACTTGTAATTTACATAGTTTAGAATAAACAATCATTGCAAATACTAAAACAGGATGATCATATAAAAATTACCATAGGTCACTCCAATAATAGATTACAGAGGTGGGCCTAAAAGGCTTGTTTATTTTCATTAAATTCTTTTATCTATCTATTCATTATATCACCTGTATTATTGTGTGTTTATTGGAGTGGCCAGCATTGAATCACAGATATTAGACTCTTATGCTAATAATCTTACCGGCACCACTGTCAAGCAATTTTTTCATCTTTTCAATATCACCGGAATAGGCAGAGAAATCATCCTGTATGAGAGAATTTTGTCATGGATTGCTCAATTATAGAGGCTCATTGTCACACTGCCAGATCTATTTTAGCTACATCAACTCACA